GTGGTAAAAAGCGGGGGAGCTCAAGACATCACTGCAGTGACTTTCATTCATGTCACAGGGGTACTCAGAATGTATTCCTCCTAAAGCTCTAGGCAGTGAAATGTTGTTGTGACAATAAAAGTGCCCACAGCATATGTCTGTTTGGGAACCAGTGCAGTAGCAGCAAGTTCTCCCATAGAACAGGGATTTCTCTATCAGTCTGTCCTAAACAGATCAAGCATAAGCTCTATCCAACCCACAGAAGCAGGACAAGAAACTGCCTGTTTTTCTAGACTTGATTCTTAAAAGATAAAAATAAATCTGTTTCTTCAACTGCTCCGTTCTGATACAGCATCAGAAAGCTCCACATTAAAAGTCTCTCAAGAGTAGCATCTTTTACCAATCAAGTAACGTAGCTTAGTTTGTACTCACAGATCCTATTTTTCCGCTTATTTTATACAGAGATTCTCTTCCTCTTCTGCTCTAAAATGACTATAATTATTCTATAAAAATACAGAGCATATGGAATGCTTTCCTCCAAGCAATGGAACAGAGCGCCATAAAAGCAATGAACATCAGCAGTTTATTAGAGGTGGTTTCCCTTCCCCATCATCTACTCAGAGCTGCTGTGAAATTCTATTGAAGCCATACTGTTCAGGGGTACAAAACAGCTATGAAAGGATTTGCCTGCATTACATAGGGTTTACTGTTAATTAGCTCTTGTATACACACGCAGTACATAAAAAGAGCTTTTTTGTTTAGGAAGTGATGATTTGTTGAGAGGATGTCCTTTGTTGATATAAAGCTAGCATTAGCATTGTAATTTGAGTTAACATCTACACATCATTTTATGTAACCACTTGACAACAGTGGTCCTGGCTAATTAGCTTCTGTTAGTTAAAAGGGAAATGTGAATGAAATTTTCTTGGGGCATAAATAGAGGTATCAGCTTACTCAGACCAGTAAAACCAAGGTGCTATTTCTTTCCTATCACATCCACCACATGCTTCTGATAACATCTTCAGATTTGCAATCTCTCACGCACCGGAAAACACTAACTTTGCCCCTCCTTTGATGATCTCTTCTCTCTTAGTATTAAGTTGAATGAATCATGGGAAGGATAAACACATTTAAAATTCATACTTTGAGTAAAAACTTTGTTTGCAGCCTAGCTTCAACAGCTGAGTTAGCCAAACTTTTCTGGTGGACTTGGGAGCAGGGGAGCTTAGAAGAACCAGCCTTACGTGACTGCCTAGAGTAATCTTAATGGGCAGCAGAGTATCATTTTTACAGTTTTTCAATCTTCCTTTTAGGCAATGGTTTAAGCAGGCATACTCCTCTTTTCGCTCTTTGTTCCAGAGCTAACAAGTATGGTATTCCACTCAAAGAAACCACCGCCAACAATTGTCAGAAGGTATTGAAAGGAGGAGTGTCATTCTAGGAAGGGGTGGGAAAGGAAGACAGCTAACTCCTTTGAGCACCCTGGGAAATTCCAGCCTCCATCTGCTTTCCATCTTTGCTTTGGTGATTTCTTAGGGAAGGTTGACACAGAAGGGGGAACCCAAACTGAAGCCTTACAGTAATAATCTAGTACCTACTCCCCCCATCCCCAAACGGCAGAGAACAACAGGAAGAGCTACAAGCAGCTGAGAAAAGCCGGGACACAAGGCTCTTGTCTCCTCTCTGTTCCCGGGGCTGAGATTCTCAGCATGGCAGGGAAGGAAGGAAGATAGAAAGAAGGACAAAGAAGCAGTGATGTTAGTTACATGCCAGCTAAGGACTCCACCTTGCATGGGGAATTCTCTGCTGGCAAGGCCTGCCCCGTTCCTTTGGGCCTCTGTGTGATCTGAGCAGCCCGAAGAGGTCAGCCAGAAAATCTGCTCAGCAAACTGACTCAGTGAATCATACGAATTACAATCAGACAACGTTGTGATAGGGATGCTATGAATTAAACATGGTATAAATGCAGACAGAATATGCCTGAGAATATTCCTCACAAATGAGAGGAAAGGCTTTCCCTGCCATATGATTTCAACTACAGTAAATCAAGAGCTATAATGACAATAACCAGAATTTGCAACTGACCACAAGCAGAAGAGGAGCTCATTTCTCCCATGACTTCTAATTCCTTTAGAGTTTGAACTTTTCCTGGCACTTAAGAATACAGTGAAAGCCTTTGTGAGCATAAACTGAACACACTGAAAATAAACATGGGTCCTCACAGGGAAAAAAAAAAAGGCACATGAGATCCAGCAAGTAACCCAACAGTCATTTGAAAAATCTATCAAGTAGTCTAAAGGAAAAGGGCTAAAATAATCCTTATACATGGCACTGAGCTGGAAACGGGAAAAGAAAAGGGTTTCTTGCATCCTTTTGGACAGAACTCTACTGAAGGTAAAAGTTTTAAAAAACCCAAACACCTATGCAGAAAGACATGCAATGCCAAAAGTAAGAATTTTTTTCCACAGAATTTAAGGGACCAAACATAAGCAGAAAAACCTGAAGTTTCACCGGTCATCTGGAAAACAAGCCACGTGATGCAGATCCGATTCATCTTTATCAAACACGACAGTAAGAATTCCTTTGCTATTCTACCAGACTCTTACAAAAGCCCTCAAGTCAATGGATCATGGCAAAACCAATTTGCAAACTGCAAAATTGGAAAGAAAAGCAACACTGGTATGAAAATGGAAATAGATGAAGATGAGAAATACCTCGTTGTTCGTGGTTAGAGCCCTGCTCTCACCTTCAGCTGCCTGAACAGCAGAGAACCCTGCCCTTCAACCCACTGCTAATTCACATCAATGGAAGAAACTCAAGCCAATGGATAAGGGTAAAACTGATTATTATTTATTTTAAGGTCTGTAAGTCTAGGGAGGGCATGCAATTGCTAAAGGGACACAAAGAAGGTTCCATCTAAAGTGAAACACATCCATTTTTGATTTACACCCCTACTGTAATAAAAAGTATCACTTTTGCCAGTGCAGTTTTGCCCATTTTTAGCCCAAAGAAATTGAACCATTTTCACAAAAAAAAAAAAAGAGCACAGTTTCACTATCTAATAAATATAAAGGTATGAAATTTCCTTCTTTGGCTTGAAAGTGAAAGAATACATACATACTGACACTTAAACACAGTGCAGTAATTTTCCTAAAATAAATTCAGCAAAGTTGGAACAAAAAAAAAAAAAAATTCCATCAGATCTAAAGGAAACATTTGAGGGTCTTCCCCCTCAGACTGAATGGAGCAGGAAATTATTCACTTGAGCAGAGTAAAACAATTGCTTTAATTTCCACTCCCCTTGATAATTTGCTTTACCACCTTGATTCAAGGAGACAAACCCTATGATTTACACAACATAAAAACCAAAATAAGCATTGCCTACTAACACATGGCTTAAGCCTGGCACCTTACTAGACAACACTTTCTTTAGTGATGTGTAATCACGTTTGAGGTTCCACTCCTTTAATTCCACTTTTAAATACAGGGCCCAATCTAATACCCTCTGTGATTAACAGGAGTCTTTCCATTAAATTCAGTGGGTATTTGGCAGTACCTCCAGAGACTTTACTACTACCTGAACTTTTTCAACGCAAAGGTAAGTTTTGGAGTTACACCACTTGAATTAAACAGTGAACAAGTTGCATACTAAAATACCGCATTGTCTCTATTGCTTAAACTCACCACTGTATTAAGCTCTTAACGTTCCCTCAAAAACTGATTAAAAATCTAATTGATGAAATACATGTTATTTTTACATTGGTTAGTAAAGCAAAGAACTTCAGCGTGGCCTTCATTCTCTCTTGTTTGGTAAGCCCCTTAAACTTATGCAAATAATAATACATTTTCTATATTTGTGCTTTGTGTAAAGTTGACAAAATGGAGACCTTTAAAACTGATTGCTTGTTTTGGGCAACTCAGTTTGGATGAGTACATGTGAAAATGAGTCCCCCACAGAAGTATCTCAAACTGGATACCCCAGCTCAGAAAGATTAAAAAAAAAAAAAAAATTGAAATATTGAAAAACTCAGTCTTCTTCTGTTGCATATTCATTGGTCCATGAATTAAGTCAGAACTGACATGGATTTAATTAAACAAGTATACTATTTGACAGCATTTATAGAGTACTGTTTTTCAAGTCTAAACATGTTCTCCCTCAACAGCTAGAAATAGGAGTATTCACATTAGGTACACAACTAGGAAGGAAAGGAAACCTTAAAATCTTTTTTTAAAGACATGAAAAAAACCCAAAGTAAAATCCTTAATGAGGTGAAGTTGATTGAAATGATACATTTTTCATCCAGTCCTAGCTCATGACAGTAATCCCAAAGCCTGGAAGTCATACTAACCAGTTTGAACTTAAAAATAAACAAACTCAATGGCAATGAAGGGCTTTCATGAAAAAGAATGCAGAGTATAACTGGAATGTTTTGGGAGTCTTCCTGTATTGATTTGTTTTGATCGTCATTACTGAAAAATAAAATTGCTGCAAGGTTACAATTTTTTTTTTTTAAACAGAAAATGGAAAAAAAAAAAATCAACTAATAGTGTTATGTGAATTAAGGAAGAAATTCAGTTTTGCTGAAACATTTACTTTTTTCCACAGAGATGATGTACGGAAGAAAAAGCTTCATTTGCTTTTAAGATCTGTCTTAAACAAAACCCCCAACAAACAGGAAAAAAGCAAATTCCAATTAAACCACAGTTTTCACCATGTTTACTTCTAGTAAAATTTCATCAAGGAACACGTATTTCTGCAGAAAATTTCAGAATTGAGCCCTTACTGATTTAACCTAGAAATAAAAAAAAAAAAGGCATCTTCTAATCAGCCTAAACGAGTAAGATATTTAATTGGCTTTCAAATGGAAAAGTAAATTTGGATGTTCAGAGGCATATCTTACTTAGGGACAAATTATATTCTCCCCATAATTTGTGTTTCTGAACAAACTGGATAGTACAGCATTCCTATGGCAACGAGGGCAGGACCTTGTGCACAAAAATGGAAAAGTGGTGGATGTTACCTAGCATGTTGTGGTAAAGTGGACTGTCGTGTCCATGGATAGTAAATGCAGTCATGACTAGCGGGACCTCTACACCTGCAGGCAATTACAGAACAAAAGACGTCATTTGCCATTCACAAGGACATGCACACGCATGCGCCCTTGTCCACACGTGGAAGATGGAAGACACACAGGGAACGATCACTCAGCAAGTACCTATCCATCAGGCCGATGCAGTCCTCAATACGTGGCCCTATGCACCTGCAGCAAATCCAAATTGAAAATAGGGAGAGAAAGAGAGAAATCTGTTATTTACAGATCCAAGAAGCAGGAATCCCCTCTTTGTGCTACATTCTTAATTATAATTCTCACGAGAGACCCGAGTCACCACAAAATTATAGCTTGTGACAAAAACAAGCTTGCAATGGGAACAATAATAGCAACATAAACAGCACTCCAAGGTTGGACATATCTTGGCTCAAACAACACTTAAGGCAGGTTTCACCTGCATACGTGGGAGTCCTGACAATAGAGTTGCTTTTTCTGGATGTTGTCTGAATCATCAAACCAGTGATTACTGCACAAAAGCTGTTCATTTGCAAGATGAGACCTCCAGGAGCACAATGCAAAACTTTTTTTCTTTCTGTAATTGATGCAATTGTTCATTCTGTTCTAAGTTTCTAGCTAGGGCAACTGCAGAAATATTTTGGAAGCTGACTATACTTTTATCAGGGAAGCTCAAGGATGAATTTCCATCAACAAAAACCAGTGCAAAACATTGTCTGCCGATTCAGGCATTTTATTCTGCTTTCCTTAGATGCTGCCAAAAGTCCTCCACCTGCAAAATCAGCAGGTGCTCACCAAAGGCAATGGAAATGCAGGGAATCACTTTATAAAGCAGCACTAAAGCACAACCATGGGGAAA